TTGTAGGGTCTATGAGTATTTCAAGGAGTTACAAACGGAATAACAAAGTTAATTTACCCTCGATAGAATGGTGGAGGGGCTTCCACAAAACCCAAACAAGAGCTATTCTAATTGAAACCCAAAACGATTACTTTTCGCAAAAGAATTTTCCAATGAAATCCCGAAAAATTGAATTTTAGGAAGACTAATGGTCTGTTACAGAGCTGGTGTGATGTAAAAGTATTTACTACGATCACCGATTTTCCCTTTATAATATCGGAGAAAAATGCAAAACTTGTACATTCTTTCAGGTTCTGGAACGGAGCGTAAAATGTTTTCTTTACTGAGAATTCCAAATAGAATATTAAAGCTTCCCCTCAGCACATGAGTTCGAAAAAGGCCCTTGTGGAGTATACTCCTCCAAATTCCCTGCCTTTAACTTTACACTAGGAAAAAAATCGAAATAAAACTCCAAAGTATGTCTGCTGGTAATTCACTAAATTATAAAGCTCCTTTGCTGAATGGTATAACATTAGAAGCATATCAGCACCAACACCTCCATTATCGAAATGTAGCCGCCAAATTTATTTACATACATACATATGTACATCATCAAATATTTAAATGTATAGGGGGAACTTAGGTGGGTGGGTGGTCTAGCCATAAAATGTAACGCAATGTCATTTTGTCAAATATATGGACGCATATTTTTTTCTTGTTTTAATGACCATGATTTTATCTTTGCGCTGTGATGCAGGAAACATATGATGTCTATTTACAAGAAGATAGCAAATGAAATCTAGACCATTTTATGGATACTCCAAAAAATGAGTACCAAATTGAATTCATAATTCCTCTAAGAAACCAGAGATATTCAATGGTATGAGGTGTATGGCAAAAAGTTCGAAAGCCGACTAAATCAATTTAGAGAAATGATTTTGGAATCATTTGGCATGAGGAAATATAATTCACTTATTATTAAATACCAAACGAGTATCAGCAAAGAATTCTAGGCGCTATCAATTGCCTATTTGCAAGCTCTTCTATTCCAAAAGAGGGGTGTACAAGAAACTTTTCAGCAAAAAACTACTCAATAACTTGTAGGGAGGGAATTTTCTCGTCCCCGTACAAATCTTGCAAACAGCTATCTAACGACGTTCGGTAAAATCTAAAAAAGAAACCGTTTTCGCCTTATATAGGCGTTACACTTTTAAATAAGTGCAAAAATCTAATGAAAATAGCAATTTTTATAAAAAAACAAAGTAATTTAATTGTACAGTACAATATTGAATGCTTATTATCTAAAAATTAAAGAAATGTGTTAATTGTTGCCCATAATTTTCAGTCATGATACTGGATAATTCTTACTGAATAAATTTTCCCACTAAAAATCAGCAGTCTCTTTACTCAATCTCATATTTTTGGGTTATCGAACAATTTGTACGCTTCAAATCTTCCAGGTAGTTTTTTTTTTTTTTTTCAAAGAATTTTATACATTTCATCTACTTCCCCATCCATAGTACGGCTATAACTCAACACAAAATGCATAAATTCGTAGCGTCCAAAAAATAAATAAATATCTTTGAATGTAATAAACCAAAATCTAAACCATCGTGCAAAACTTCGTTAACCTCAACAACATTGCCTTACAGAAGACCAATCCAACCACCCATACCTATCTGCATATTCTCCGAACATTTTCCCAATATTTAACAACATCAACACCAAAAACATCCATTTTGTTGAAACTATTAGTTGAAAGTGCAACCACACAATTTGGAGCGGCTTGTTTTCATTTTCACTGAACACGGGCGGCAGTCCGTAAAAACGATACAAAAGTTTCATCGTATCAAAGCTCAAGGCCAAAGGCGGCAAGCTACTATGGTTTAAAGGCTGTTTGGTGGTATTTGCATTGGTGGTGTTTTCCATTGAAGAGCTGCTGTTTGTGGGTGCCAACGCATAACACGTTACAATGCAAGACCCCCATCAACGAACATTTGATGTGTAAATATTCGGCTGATTCTACACACACGCAATAGTCTGCCAACCACAAGCTGCTATAAAGAGTAACAAAACATAATGTGCCTAAAATATTTCTGGCGAATCAATGGACAAAGTGGGCCCGTCAAAACCATCATCTAACCATGCAACCAAGAGGCGAAAGTGGTTAAAAATCCTTAATAAATACTTGCTCCTTTCAAAAATGTAATTACCATAGCACAAAATGTATGGGCAAGAGTTTTGGAACTCATTCTAACAGTGGTCCGGGGAACCAAATAGAAAAAGGAGCAATAGACCTCAAACTAATAATTAAAATCCAAAACTTAAAAGAAATTGAATTGTATTTAGTTGGAAAGATTACGTCTATTTTCAAGATTATTTCTCTCCATAGACAGACAGCGGAGAAGGTTATAGGGTCTATTTGATGTTTAATTTTGGTTGGAGACACATATAACTTAGTAAAAATTATCCTACTCAAAAAATTGAACTAGGGACCTTCTGGTCAATTCTTTGAATTTCCACTTGGCTTTAATACTCTCTTGGGTGACTTATTCAGGGTGAGATGAAAATATTGTAACTAATTCAGCTGTCATTTCTAAGCCACTCGTCCGACAGCTGTTCAAATTTTCCAGTGGCAGCATATTATACTGTTTACAAGCGTAGAAAAGCATTTTGGTGAGAATTTTCCCAAAAAAATTTTCCAAAAAAAAAAAATTCCAAAAATATGTTTCGTGATGGAGTTGCTTCTTTTGGCCAAAAGTGGTGAACTGTCGAATTTGGTTTTCTCCGATGAGAAAACATTCGTTGTCCAGCAGTTTGTAAACAATCAAAATTATCGTGTTTACTTGCCAAAGAGGTCAGCTGAAAATGTGCACCTTTTGTTGGCTACCAGAACTCAAGCGCCGGCCATGGTGACGGTGTGGGTAGACATAATAGCCGATGGTCGCTCCCCGTTCGTATTAATCGACAGCGGCATCGGAATAAATGCCGAATATTATAGCCTTGGGCACGCAAACATTTTGGCCGCAGACCTTGGACATTCCAACAGGACTCAACACCATCGCACCAGCACGCGCCACCCATGAATGGTTACAAAACGAGGTTCCTCGCTTAATTTTCAGCGAACAATAGCCACCAAAATCTTCGGATACCAATCCGTTGAACTATTGTGTTTGGAGTATTTTAGAAAGCAAGGTTGGCACTAAAAAATATCAAAGTGTCGATCACCTCAAGAAATCACTTCGCCGGGATTGGGTCAAAATACCGCAGAGCAACATTCGGGCAGCGCGTGACGGTTTCATTGGCCGTTTGAAGGCCATAATTTGTGCCAAAGGTGACCAATTCGAACAAATCTAAGCTTATTCTAGATTATTATTAAATTATTTCCGACATTTTTTTGCTTGTATTCAATATAGTTTAAAAAAATTAAAGTTATGTATGTCTTCTTCCCATAAAATCTAGCAAGCTCACATTTTTCTTCTGCAAGACCAGAAATATTCCCTTTCTGGAAATTGTTATGTCATTGACATGAAAGTTTTTTTTCAAAACAGACAAATATGTCATATTCTCGCCGAAATTAACATTTATCATTCTTCTTTTTCCAAAAAGATCAAAAGATTTCTATTTTTTATAGTTCAAGAACAATTTAGATGAACTTTTCTCATAGGGGCCTTCCTTTATAGGAAAAAATCTTCCACTTATTGATGACCAGAAGAGACTTGCAAATCCGAGTTTCTCAATCTCATAGAGAAACATCAGAGCAGATGCTATTGTTCCCAAAGAAGTAAACAAGTAAAAAAACTATTCCCAGACTAGGCAGTCCAAGTACCCAACATACCAAATTGACTTGAGAATAATATTTTAATAAGCTTTCAAAAATAAGCCTTAAGCTTGAGAAAATCTTGAGAATGTATTGAGAAATGCTTGTTTAACAATTATAGAATAGTCGAAAGGGAACCCTTATTCATAAGCTTATTCTTGTAATTGCAGAATAAGCTTACGAAAGTAATATTATATCAAGCTTATTTTTTCAATGGTATAAAATATTTATTTTTTAATTATTTTACACATTTCATTCATTGATCGCCATCCCAGCTGTCGCTGCCTCCTGTTGCATTGATACCTAGATGATTTCTTTCCCCTTATTTGAGCTTCCGCATCTCCTCCACTAATTCTTCACTTCTCTTGAATTCTTGCAACTTTTTGACGCCTCTATTCTGAAATGAGATTGAAATAATATACACTACAGATTCCCAGATTTATTATTCATCATTACCTTAGAGTTTCGTCCAGAAATGGGTCTTAAATTCGCGTGATTTTGATTTTAACCAAAGAAAATATTTTTTTTGTCAACAATTTTCACAAAAAAAAAAATCAAAACAAATTTGTCAACAAAGGACAGATTTGAGAAAAGTTTGTGCAAAAAAGTTTTTCTCTAGCATTGTTGAGGAATTCTTACGATAAACTATTTTCATAATATTATTCTCAAGCTGTATTGTATTTTTGGTATGTTGGGTAAAGACCATACATTCTTGTCTGTAATTTGTCTATTCAATTAAGAGAAAATAATCATTCTATAAAGATTAAGTCCCTATGCGGTTTCCCATAAATATATAAAAACAATTAATCATCAAAGATAGAATAAATCATTTGATATCGTACAAATTACCCCATTGTGTCATCTTTATTTATAGAAAATATCATTTGGCTTTCTTCATAAGTAAGAGATCCCAACTAGTCTTTTTAGCCGCCTATATAACTTTTATTCTAATACTGACAAAGATTTGGGTTTTTGTGCATTAAATGTTTTTGTGTAAGAGACCCACTTGCTCCTCTACAAAGGAGTTGGTTTTCAGTTTCCAAAGCTTCGCAAACGCTCATTTTCTGTTTGTATTAAAAATATTTGTTTTTTATTAATTTAATTATACCTAAATATATAACATATATAACAATTATCGTAATACTATGTATGTAAGCATATAGAACATTAATTACTTGCTGCAACAGCTACTAAAAAGAGATTTTTGATCTAAAAACAGTTCTCATCGTATTGTATGTCTCATCTCTAATAACTTATTATTATTAGAATATGACAAATCACTTATTTTTAATTTTCACTGTGGGTTATCTGTTGTCTTAGGTATTCTGACTAGCACTTCATATTGGGAATTGCAAACTTCGACATCACCATAAGGCATATAGGCCATTTTATATTGACGATGTAATTTTCCATACAGAGTTTTTCCTTCGTGCTCGGCACGAGCTATGTACAACGGTTCACTGTACGCTGTATGGCCCGAGACCAATGCATTTTCTGGTAAATTCCCCTCAGATGCTGGCACCCATTTATATTCGGCATTATCACAGCTTATGTCCAAAATTTCGATATTACTTGTTAGAAAATGTGATTTAAATCCCCATGGAACATATACCCCACGTTTTTGTGGGCAATAATAGGCTGGTATCAAATCTTGGTTAAAGTAACCACGAGCAGCGTACATATCATTGCCATCATCATCGGTCCCGTAGTGCAGCCCAAAGCTTTTTATCATTTCCGCATCCATATCGTGGTCTATGTGAAGCCAATCATAGCCGCTATAGACATTATTGAGCTGAGGTGGGGAATTTGTTACTGTTGATTCGTCCAAGGGTTGAAAATTTAAATATATTCTGTGACACCGATGTCGTAGACAAGGATCTCGACACTGGGGACAAGTGTGTGATACCCTTAACCAATGGAATAAACATTGCTGATGAAATACATGACCACAACGAGTAACGTAAATATTGTCACGAGCCGCATAGAATTCACTGCATATTCCACAAAGTATATTCAACGTTGATGCCATGTTGTTGCTGGAATTAAAAAATCTTTCATTAACAACAATTACAGAAAAATTGAAAATTTTTTTACTTTAGCAAAAATTATTTCCGAATGAATAAATAAATGTATTAGCTGTCCTTTGTTGTTGTTGTTGTTTATGCACTATTGACAGTTGCACTTCTTCGATATCATCTGTTGTGAAATACCTACACTGAAAATAAATTTTGAATAACCGGTTTCCGTTAAGTAATAAATAGCGGTTATAGAAATAAAAAAAGTTGAAATGGTTGGTCATGGACATATATTTATGTACCTTTAACTCTTTTGGCTGGCAAATGAAATATCCAGACTAAATTGTCAAAATTAGTGTCATGAAATTTGCATCAGGGTGAGAGATAACGCGGATGTTTCATTTCTATAAGTATTCAAAATGTGCATTGAAATCATTCTTACTGTACAATTTAAGTATTGTACCTAGCGCCATCTATTGAAATTTACAAAACAATTAATTGAGCCAAACAAATTGGTCTTGATATGATAAAATATGTCCATATCTGCAGTATTTAATAAATATTCGGAAAAATATTAACTTTCAATGACTTAGGGCTTAACAAGTAACCGTTTCCCAAACTATTTCAAATTAATTTTTTTAGTGCATTAAAAATTCTTTGGCATTTTAATTTCGCAACGGAATGACTGCTCGGTCAATTCAGCCGCTTAAAAACTCTGTCAACACAGTTCCCACCATAATATTCCATGTTTAACGGACATGACTTCCCTTAATGTAGTCTGTGACGTCTGCAACGAATATTACAAATCCAATGATTTCATCTATACAACGGGATGTGGACATCTATTTCACAGAACTTGCCTATTTCGCAGACTTCAAACTTCATATACCTGTCCCCAATGTAGTGTTGGATGTTTGCGGCAACAATGTTATCGGGTATATTTCAAGTGGATAGGTCAATCAACTGATGACACATCACATCTTTTATTACCAAACATCGAAGTGGAATCGACAAATCCATATAAAACAAAATATCCCAGCAAATATATGTGGCTTTTTGTTCAGCATGATTTCAACGACGATCTCTGTCAACAAATTGGTCTTTATTTGGATATTAACGAAGATAATGGTTATGCGATGTATGCTGCACGAGTATATTACAAGGGTGATATGATTCCCGGTGTCTATTGTCCACAATCGAAAGGAGTGCATATAGTCTGTGGTAGTAAGTGTCATTTACTTACTGAAAATATAGAAATACTTGATATTTCCAATGATGATGCGGTATATAAATGGATAAGAAGTTCTTATGATGAACGACCAGAAAATGCTTTAGTTTCTGGTAATGCCATAATGGGCAATGAACCACTGTATATGGTTCGTATCATTCATAAGGGTAAAGTTTTATATGGAAAATTGCATTTAAGAAATAAGATGGCATATGCCCCATTCCGTGGTAAAGAAATTTGGAAATATAATTATGAAGTGTTGGTACGACTTCCAAGGAATTGCCTATAATAATAATTAATTAAAAAATTATTAGTTTTATATGAGGAATTATTGATAAATCTGCTGTAATAGTTACATATAAAAAAGTAGGTATGTAGTAACGCAATTAAAACCATATATATATATATATATATACATATATATATATATATATATATATATATATATATATATATATATATATATATATATATATATATTATATATATATATATATATATATATATATATATATATATATATATATATATATATATATATATATATATATATATATATATATATATATATATATATATATATTAATTTAATGTTGGTGCAAAATATATAAATTATAATATATGAAGTCTTTAGATAGATGGAAATTTCGAAGTACACTATATGGAATGTTCCCTGCATTGAAGGTCTCCAATGAATACTTCGAGAAATTAACTTGAAATATACCACTTGAGTACATATCAAAGCTACATATCTCATTCTTTAAAAAAGGATTAACGCGCTTCTTTGAACAATCGGTCATTCTACTCCGGAAATCGATTTGGCTACAGTTTTAATTTTTCTTCTATGTATCCGTTGAAAGAAGAAATTTTTAAAAATCTGAATAGAAGAAAAATTCTGTAAATGACCCATAACCTTAAAGTTAAACAAAAGGATTCTAAGTTTTTATTGAACAATTGGTATATTTAAATGCTAAAATTGGAGCTTTACCATTGTTTGGAAGCTGCACAAGTCAATGTCAAAATTGGACACTCTTTTTATATATTTAATAGTAATATGTGTTTTATTTTCATGTTTTCATGACCCAGAATTGTCATAAAGGTCCATCACGGCCTACAAATGAACTCTCTCCCCACAAATGGACTCTGGATCCCCCATGACCAATACATTTACATTTTTGGCATAACTAAATATTTTTCTACAGTGTAAATTACTCTTCGGGTTATCGATTACTCGATATATATATACCACTCTTGGCGCGCAAAACAACAGTTGACAGTTCAATTGCATTGTTTATTTTGGTTTTTTGCTGCTTTTTGTTTGTGCAAAAATAAAATCATCAACGAAATGGACGATTTAGCCAAGCTACGGAAGAAAATTACGAATGCATTTAAATTAAGTGGATTTTTAATACGTTCCGAAAACAGCGTTTTCCTCGCAGAACAATTGGCTCCTTTCGATGACAACGAACGAGAAAAATGGCTCACAATCATAACCGAGAATCTGCAAAGTCAACGTCTGAAATCGACCCATGTTGAAAGGGCAGCATTGGAAAAGGCTATCAATGAAATAAATCGTGTGGGGCTGGATGAGGGCGAGTCTGTTTTCTCGGTTATCGATGCCTTTTCGGTGCCGCGTTATGTGTACAACAAACAAAATAAGAAATTTGAATTAGAAACTGAACCACGTTCGTTGCTGGCCAAAACCACGATGAAATCGGGACAACTTAGGCAACGGTATGAAATGCTACTGCAAAAGACACTGCGACATGAACTCTTTGCTCCTGCTGTAATTGAGAACGGTGTGTCGGCCGAGTCCAGGGCAAAGAAGTTTAAACTGCTTTATTGTGAGAATCTCTTGTCCAATTCCGTGGTCGAGGAAGCTGTAGTCTTGGGTTTGTTGACACAACTAAAGGAGGGCAAATTTTTCATCGAGGATCCAACGGGTAGTGTGGAACTTGATTTGAGTGGAGCCAAGTTCCATGCCGGATTCTTTTGCGAAGGATGTTTTGTTTTGGCCGAGGGATCTTATGCTGGACAAGTTTTAAAAGGTTTGATACATATATATGCCATTCCATTTTTCTTTTAATTTTAAAGTGATGGATGTTTTGGATTTTAGTGGACGGCTTGGGTTTTCCACCTGCAGAACCAGCCGTTAGCAGCCGAGCCTTTTTTGGCACACAAAACAGTTGGGGAGGTGAATCTTCAAAGTTATTAAAATATTCTACAAGACTACAAGAACTGGAAAGATCAAACACAGAGGCCACCATTGTCTTTTTATCTGATGTTCGTTTGGACATGCCTGTGGTTATGGAAAAATTAAGAATGCTTTTTGTTGGTTATGACTCGTGTCCACCTGTGGCCATTGTGTTAATGGGCCCTTTTGCAGCTTCCGAACGGCAACATCATGCCCTGAAAAATCATCTTAATGCTTTGGGAGCCTTGGCCAATGGCTGTGAACAATTGAAAAAACAAACAGAGCTAATTCTTATTCCTTCCAGTGAAGATCCAGCAGCCCCGAATATATTTCCCCGTTCAGCTATACCCAAAACTCTGGCAGCTGGACTGCTAAAAGTATGGCCACGTACACGTTTGGCCACCAATCCATGTCGTCTACAGTATTGTACCCAACAAATTGTGGTATGTCGTTTGGATCTGATGGCGAAGTTTTGTCGTAATACCTTACATTTCCCACCGGATACCTCGAAAATCGAACAACACTTTGCCCGCACACTAATATGTCAGGGCCACCTGACACCCATACATCCTATTGCCATGCCTGTACATTGGGATTATGATGCAGCTTTGTGGTTGTATCCTCTGCCTGATTTAATTGTCGTTGGTGACTCTTGTCAAAGTTTTTCCACAAGTCAACATGGTTGTACCGTACTGAATACAGGATCATTTGTTAAGTCCAAATTTGCTTTTAAAGTATATATACCACACACAAAGACAATAGAAGATTCCGAAATACCAGACGATATGGAAGAGTAAATTAGTTAGGGTGTACGTTTTATTGTAGTATTTTAAGAAGAAAAGGCTTTCTGTTTTAATAAAGTTGTTTTTAAACCAAAAATACATATGTACTTAATCCATATTTGCACAAAAAAATTTATTGAAAATTACTTTCTCAAGAAAAGAATTTCTACCCACTATGCGTGTGTGATTTCGATTGAATGTGGAAGTAAAAAACCTAAAGCATATATAGAGCCTTGTAAAAATTTAGCACACATATTTTTACACATATTCACGAGTATCCATTTAAAGCCTAAAATTAGAGGTCAATTAGTTGAACAAAGTGTCTGTGACCTTGACGAACCAACCAACGAATAACCAAAGCAATTTTGCTCTTTAAATGTGATACCAAATTATTAGTGCTAATCAAATGCGTAGTTTGGTACTAAAAAGTCATAACTTTAATATTAGTACAAAATTTCTATCTTAAATTTTGTGTTTGGAAAACATAAATAGATCCCATCGCCACTTTCCTCTACGAAAACCTACCCCTGCCCAGCGTGTGATACAGGCCCGCACAACACGCTGCATTTGTTTAATTGTCCTGCCAAGCCTACCCAACTCCGTCCAGAGGATCTATGGCTACAGCCCATAAAGGTAGCAGAATTCCTAAACCTGGACATTGAGGAAGAACCAGATTAGTCGGAAAAAACAACAGAACGTGTAAAACTGCTACAACAACAACAACGAAAACCTACTACTGTACCTTCCTAATATTTCTTATTTCTCAATATATAAATCTCCTTCCAAAAACAATTTAACCACGCCATCTACATGCGTTTATCAATCATCATCTACTACTAAATTCATCAACCCTTAATAGGTAACAACATCAGCTGTCAAGAGATTTAATAATTCCTCCAAGAGGAGAGCGAACAATTATAATTAGAACATAGCATAAGTCGAACAATCGACTATGAATAGTCGAGTACTCGGTTTTCACCCAAGCCCATAGTCGAGTTCGAGTTTCAGAACTTTGAGTACTCAAAGTCGATTAATCAAAAGTCGACTTACATATCCCTTTCCAAGAGGATAGGATTTCTGTGAAACCAGCAAAAAGTCTTTGATTTTTGAAACAAAAATGCTGAGAGTTACACAAAACACAACTGGCGTCATATGCAAAAGACTGGGTAACTATTCTTTAAATAACCTATGGCTGAATTTCCGAATTATCTTACAACATTCATTTATATTACAGCTCGTAACATCTCGTGCACGGCCCAAGTGTCCATAGATCAGAGATGGCGTGAAGAACATGGTTTGCCAGCTAATCCCAATGAGTTTGGACCATTGACCAACTTACCCGATTACACATTTCTGGATGGACGTCCCACACCAATGGGCGTAAGTACAAAGTTTTGATGCCCGCGAGAAAACCCTTGCTAACATTGTTCCTTTCCTCATTTCCAACTAGTCCAATCAGAAGAAACGTCTAATAAAACAACAGACCATTGCGGCTAAAATTGTCACACTTAACAAAGAATTGGATATGGCCAAGCAGAGGTACCAACAATTGCAGCAGCAAGAGAAAGAACAACGCCAACAGATTATGCAAGCCAAACTGAAACCAAAGGGTAAACTAATGCTGGAGAATCTGAAAAAGTAGGAGAAGCTTTTGGAACGAGTATCATTTAAATTTATTGTTATTTAATAAATGTCAATGTTAAACATTTAAATTGCATAGTGATTTATGCCAACTTTAGGCCACACTCTTATTTACATTCCTTATAACCTCCGGTATTGTATTGTATTGTCTGTCATATGGGTATAATGCTACCACAGTATGGAGTATTTTTGGTTAGGTCAACCAATTGTAACAGCTTCGCTCAAATGTCTGCCGGTATACTCCAAGATGTATGCAAATTGGTTGAACACATTTTTGGATTAAACGAATTAATTTGATATTCCTATATAGGAATGTTTTTGTGGGAAAAGCTATGGCTATTCTATTACCTATCTGTTATGAGCTTAAGGGAAATAAAAAATAATAATAATAAAAAATTTTATTTTGATAAAACCAAAATAATTCGGCACTTTCAAAAATTTCTAAATATGTTGATAACCATAATTATAATATTGGATTCATTGCGATAGTGAGTTGGTTGTAGGGCATTAAAAAGTTGCATTTGCCCGCCTTTTTGGTTGTTTTTATTTTTCTTGACATATCAGCTGTTTTCTGTCATTGGGTGTCAAATGTGTGTGTGACATAACCTCAGCGTTGCGTTTCTTCTAGAGGAGGTATATCTTAAAAATGTCTAAATTATTAAATAAAAATTAATAAAATTATTTTTCATAGGGTCAAAATGAATATAACACCTATTCTACGCACTGGTTTGTATTTGGCCAATCGTCCTGTGGTCAGACAGTATGCATTTAAATCGGATCTAAAAATCAAATGGGTTCGTCCCGAAAAAATTCCTTCTATTCATCCGGAGAAAAGTGGTGATTGCTCCAAACTGTCGGCAGTTAATCCAAAGGAGTTGATGCTTGGATTTGAAAAGTCCAAAGAATTGGAAACGTAAGCATTTACAAATCCTTTTATTTTAATTTAAATAATGTTAAGCCCGTTTTATTTGTATAGCGCTGATGCGGCCGTCAAATCTCTTTTTGAGTTGGGCAACAATCCCTATGTGAACACAACCAGATACCACAGTGAACAATTAATCAAAGAGGTTCAAAGGCATCCCTTGGATTATGGTTCCATGGAGGCAAAATGTAAGTTACTAGAATTTGGAACAAGTTTCGTTTAGGGACACCTTCCGGGCGATATCATTAAATAATGTTTTTTAAGGCGAAGTTGAGGTGGTATAAAAACTGTTTAAAAAATACTCCTGTGTAAAACGAGACTTACGAAAAATATTTCCGAATCTAGCCCAAATTCTCAGAAGTGCCCTAAACGAAAACCATTACTTTAAATTTCAATTAAAATATAATCATTTTTTTAGTGGCCCGTATGACCGTTTTCATAAGAAGATATCAACAACATATGGAAGAACATCCGCGGGACAAAAAACGTAAAGTTATACTCAAGGAAATGATTGAAAAACGCAAGAAATTCCTAAAATACTTACGTCGTTGGGACTACAGGCGTTTCGAGTGGATCTTGGAAAAACTGGATTTGGTATATAAACCACCACCAGCTGAATTCCATTGGATTACACGCAAAGAGTCGTTACAAAAGCTCACCGACATCCATTGTGAAAAATTGAGACAAGAGAAATTGGATGAATATCGTAAAACCCTAGAAGAGCAGCAAATTCCATTTTTAGAGGATGCCATTAAGAAAATGCAATTTATACGTCAGGAACAAATTGATTTGGGCATACCGGTAACGGTTACCGAAGAAGACATCGAACAGAATAAAAAGAAACTGGCTGAATTGAAGGCATTCAGAGAAGAGACAAAAGCAGCTGCACGTAAAAGTAATTAAATGTAAATCTACACAGCTAGCAGTTTTATAGTCGTAATAAAGAATTGTTGTAAAAAAAATATTTATTTATGCGAAAAAACACTACTCCAAATGTGTTTTTCGTTCGCATTCACGTTTGTATCGTCATACAGAAACAGGTCCTCAATCTTTACTCCCCAGTGTGACATCTTTCCAAAAAAAAAAAAAATTTTCTTACTGACAGATTCTTAACCCCGACAATCTTAAAACAAATTATTATGGGCATGATATCTTTATTATTGATGACTTTTTAACAAAATGTCAAAGAATTTAGCAACGAGCAATTTATTATTCAAAGTTGTGGGAAAGTTTTTCTTGTTGCCTGAGAAATTCTAAAGTGATATTTAATATTGAAAACAAAATTCAATGGACAAAAACTCTTTAGGGTTCTTTCCTATATTTGTTTACATAGAATACTTAATTCATGTTTAGAAATTCATTAACATTAGGAATTTTCTTTTTATGATTGAAGGATTTAAGGTTTAGTAGAACGTGGATGCGCTAATGTTATTATTAAGGATGCTTGGCCATTAACGTTTACGTTTTGGTGAAATCGATCTTGAACGCGATCGGGTTCTTCTACGGGAACGTGGTGACCTGGAGTGCTTGCGGGATGAGCTTGAATTCCGACTGTGATTACGTTTGGATGACAATGAACGTGTTGAACTGTGGGATTTCGAGCGTGAATTTGAATCATCACTGTGATGGCTGTGACTTGATGATGTTTTATGTTTATCACTCGGAGGTGAACGATGTCGATTTTGTACTACTTTTCTGTTGGGGCTACGGCTAAGGGAGCGCGAATACGACCGTTTCTTTTTAAGACTACTTCTCGATCGAGATTTCGAGTGAGTCGATGATCTCGAGGATGACGAAGTGGATGATGAAGAAGACGATGAGGAGGACGATGATGACGACCTGCTTGAGGAAGACCGTGAATTTGGACGTCTTCTGTGTTGGGATCTGCTTCGCGATCGTGATTTTCTTTTGTTGTCACTCTTTGAACCAGAAGCATTACTCGACTTGTTATTGGTATTATTTGCATTGCCATCGTCATCATCTTCATCACCAAACAAATCATATTTGGCTAGATCATCTTCATCTCCCTCTTCTTCGTCATCGTCATCTTCTTCATCTGGTTCACGCTTCGTGTCTTTTTCTTCGTATGCCTCTTTGCTATTGAAATTCTTTTTGCGTTTTTTTAGACGGCCAAATTCGTCATATTCACTGTCAGACTCAACATGCTCCTTATATTCAACTACCCCGCGATCATTGTAGCCTCCACCCAGACCTGTAAAAGTATAGATTATTATCGGCCAAAACAAGGTACTATTAATTATAACTAACCTGTTCTTTCCTCATTATCAATAACCTTTGGAGCATTACACATATTACATGTCTGGCGACGGGCCCAGTTTACATTGGCACATTTGTGACACTGCCAATCATCTGCACTGAAAAGACCACGAGACTTTTCGGCTGCAGCTTTTCCAATTTCCGTGCCTAGCTTTTTGCTACCAGCACTGCCTCCACGTTCTGTACGCTCAGTGCTGCGAGAACGACGACACTTATTGCAACGACTGCGACGGGCAAAATTCAGATGTCGGCAGCTGTGCGGAAAATGTTAACAAAAATAAAAACAACAACAAACCAAAGCAGTCGTCCAAATGTGCACACAATGAATTAATTCGTTGTTTTGGCATGGCAGGATGCATAGATGGGACGAGAGTCACCGAGAAAAACACGACCAAATAGAAAGAATTAGATTAGTACTATTTCAACCAAATTGCATTTGGACTATGAGTGTGTGGTTCTATTAAGCGTCCACAGCAAGCACCACTCACGTTACATCACCACAAATCCAATCCCCACTGCTATCGGAAACAGAAGACATCCTTATTTTCTATACTGCAAAATATATACCATTCCAAGCTTCCGTTTTGCAAAAAATTCTTCCGTAGTATCTACTATTGAAGTGTGAGATAGAGCTGACAGACATTCGATAACAACATTTATAATATCGATTATTTCCTTCCACTGTCAATATTGATATGTCATGTTCCCACCGGCATTTAAACAACGCCGTTCGCTCCCAAATTTGATGATTATGAACAACAATATACAACTTTTATCCTTCTTTTTTAAAAAAATGAAAATACTTTGAAATTCATTTCAAATTCAGAGACAACATAAATGCATATTTTCAACGGGGGACAATATGCATAATTTTAGGATAAAAGATCTTGCCCTACTATCTTTGATACAATTTAATTTTGGAAGAAATTTTTAAATAAAAGAATGGTTGACATAATAAACTCCATTACAGAGTTGCATTTCCCTAGTTTCCTTAAAGTTGAGCAACCTTTCTTATTGGGCCAAAAAAACGTCTGAATTCGTGTATTATTTGTCCAAAAAAACTATTTTATCAGGTATAAAAATTAATAATTATTTACCATTCACTTAGAAGAGTTTAAAATCATTGTCTTTAATTTAGATTTTTATCAACATTTGAAATCGAGTAGATTTAGTAGACTTATGACATGTATACGTTAGGACTTTTTGCAGGGTTAACCTACGTCAAGTGTATTTATTTGAAGTATTAGTAAGGTATATTACAATTTTAATCGAAATCCAGTGGGTTAACTCTTTTAAATGTAGACGTACTGTTACCTGCTCTTTAAAGCTAAACGGATTAAGCCCGTTGATAAAATGACTCAATGCGCCATATCTGTTGAGCCCTTCAAAAGTATGGTGAGGCTTTATTCCCTTTTGCTTTCTGTCTCCAAAGTCATTGAACAAATGAAAAAGCGAATAAGGAGCAAAAAATATATTCGATAAGAAAAAAACTTTAGAAAAAAAATCAAATCATTCTCGCACAGAATGATGTGTGAAGCGTACAATGGCCGATTGAGCTTGACAGACAACGGAGTCGCAGAATGCTCCATCTCCGGCAGTCTCAACGGACTGTGTCGACTTTGATGTTCGTGTGTCAATCGACGCCGATAATTTTGCATTCTTCAAGATTTTTTCGGGCAAAATTTCTCACGAAAGGAAGGAATATTGCATTTGCTTTTATTTTTTCTTTCAAAAGAATTTGTTAAAGAAAATCCGTGTTTATTTAAGTGTTAAGTGTTGTGATTGTGCTAAACGAGAGAAAACGGTTTTGTCAACGAATTTTGACAGTATTTCACAACAGAAACGCCAAAAGAACGGAGAGCAACAGCAACAACAAGAAGAAAAGCAAAGCATTCAACGTCTAAGACGCATTTTTGTCTCCCCCTTAATGTTTTGTATATATCTTTATTAGACTTCAAGGAATAAAAATTACATTTTACCCTAATAAAACATTCAAATTGGATTTGAAACCATTTTGAACACCAAGTTTGGCAGCGTATTTTACATCATAATTGGTAAATTGCAGCAATAAAATTAGCAATTAACGCTTTCAAGATACTGCCACAAAGCAAAATTTCTTTTGCGTCGGCCAAGACAAAGGAAACGGATAAGGTTTGCGTCCCCAAACAACATCTGGAACACGTTTCACTATGGCTAACATGATTGGCAACAATAACAATCCGAACGCTTTAAACAACAGTAACAGCATGCCGTTGGCGGCGGGATCCAATCCGAATGCAAACTCAGCGGTAGGAGGCCACAGTGTGGGTGGCGGCATATCAAGTCTTCGTGAAATCAGTGATTATCTGCTACCTAATGGTGGTATGATAAATTTGGCGCCGGGTCAGTGCCCTTATGATCATATCATTGAAATGATACGAGGTCTAGATCTCGACGATGATGGCATTACAATGAATCACAAGATCAAATCTATAGAGACCGATTTCTGTAATATGGTCCAAGATGAGAATATGCTTTGGTAAGTTTGTTTGTTTTCACTATGCGCTATGCGTTCTTGATCCTTACAAAATCGACTGCACTAATATTTGAGGTTATGTCGGGAAGGAAGGGAGGTTGTTGAGGCCCTGCTGGTGCTTTTGTTTTTGTAAATATTGGAGGGGTCATGACGCGCGTTTTAATGTGTATGTGTACATGCTGTTTTAACACAGGCAGCAGCACCAGCAAGTAAACAAAACGTTCACATCGTGTAGCCGTTTTTATATTTCATGCTAATCTCACTTACCGTCGTCGTCGTTTATTGATAACTTGGTTTAGTTATGCTAAGCTATGGTTGTTGTTTTTGCAGCTTTTGTTGTGACGCATTGACCAAATGTGTGGTCGGACATTGATGACTACTTTTTGTTTTGTACCTATATTGGGTTTCTAATGAATGCGCTTTGGTCGCAAAGCGAAAAAATATTCGAAATGTCTTATGCTAAACAGGGAGGGAGATTGTTTTAGCTTTCTGTTCCCGTGCTTAAATTGTGAAATTAGCTAGAGAAAAATTTTGGTGAAATTATAAGTAGCTATCCATAAAAATTACTTATCAGTTTCCAGAACAGTTTGCAATTAGGAATGTCTAAGAGAAACGGTAAGATAGGTTTTAATTCTAAGGAAATTCTAGATAATTTTTTTAAAATAGTTTTCTCTTCTAAAAATCCGGTCTTCCTCAAATGTATTGAATTCCACAGAATGTTTATATGCCAGAAAGAAAAATCCAATTATCTGTGTCAATTTTTAATAGAAAATTTGATGCCTTTAGAAACCTTAAGGATGCATTATAATTATAGGAGATAGTATGGATCTCACATGAGTATTCATCAGTGGAAGATCGTAAGATCCTTTAGGCAAGTTATTCAATCTGCAAGCCTTTAAATAAATTTCAATCTTGGGAAGGGCATCTGTGTGAGGTCTAAAAAGTACTGAGTAATATAAGGCCTGTAGTTGCGGGTAACCTACATATTCTATCAAAGGCTATGTATTCAGAAAACTCTACACTGACGAGTATTTGAAAATCAATGACTATAAATTAAATATTTGCCTGGGAGTACATTGGAAATTTCTGTAGTATTGAAATGCCCTTTCCTGTTATAGTTATACATTTTATTGCATCTATTATCTTAACCCTGAGTGGGCAGATCGACATAAAGGTCGTTAAACGCCTTAGCATAAAATTGAATAAAATTATCAAATCGCCCACAATAGTAGTTATAATACATTTTGTTTTAAAGGTGGAGCCCTTTATATCTTATAAGAAACAATAATAGATTTACGAAACCCAGCTTGAGATTTTTATCCAACATCATTTCTTCTAAAAACCAACAATTGTGTGCGTAAAATAATATTGAGTTGGGAAATTTTCGAACGCAAATGTAAACACCATCAGCTTGATTTTCCCGCCAATTCTATGCTACACTTTTATTGCAATCCACTTAAACTCACACAAACGATGGGAATTAAATTTGTGTTTTGCTTGCTTTCGAATTGAAGATAATTAAAAGTGTACAAAAACATTTAATTAACTCCAATTAAAATACACGATGTGATTTTCATTTTTTCTTGACTTTGTTTTATGAATCATTCCTCGATGTTTTAAATAAATCTCTATGTTCTTTTTCTTTTCAGTGAATCAATGGCCTATATTAATGACAAAGCTCTAGAGGATGGAGAAACTGCACTAAAATTTGCACTATTATTTGCCTCACGCAATTTTGATGTCTTGGCCATGAAAGAGACCAAGGTGCGTACGGCCATGTTAACGCTTTTACAAAAGAATTTCGTCAATTCTGAAACATATCGCTTGTACGATCGTGAGCGTTTGTATAATTCAATAATACTTTTGGGTGAATACTATCATCGAGTGCGCCTGGCTGACAATGCTCCGATCACAATTTTGGGCGAATCACTGCTGACCCTTTTGATTCGGGAAATAAGTGAGGAGAAAAATGTCAATAACGTTAAGTTGGTCAAATTAATATTGTCACAAATTACCTTAAATGGTGGCCTTTTGCGCAACTTGCACAATGCAGATTTATCACAACTTTTATATCTCATACGGAAGAACTTGATTGAACAGCCGAATCTTAAGCCGAACGTTAAAGCCATTATGTTAATGACTTTAGATTTATTTTATAGCAATTTTGAGAGTCTCGGTTCACAGCTGGAGGGCATGTATTCAAAATATCTAATAATGGAAGATGACGACGATCCGGAAGATATGGGTAACAATAATCAAAACTTGTCATCACCTGCTCAACAACAACAACAACAACAGTCTCCATATAACACCTGCCCCACAACAACAAATACCCAACGCCAAGGCTATAGAAATGAAACGTGTAACAATTACGATGAAGTTCCCCTACCATCCTCTTCAAACAACACCAGCTATGAAAATGGTGATTCAGGAAATGTAAATGATAACACCGAAGAGGATCATGATAACTACAAGCGGTGGAATGATCAGGAGTGTGGAGATTCTTTGGAAGAGTGTGACATAAATGTGGGTAATAGTGGCGGCGTTGCAGGACGTGGCGTTGGTCCATACAGCAGAAATGATGATCGAGATCAGTTGCATTCGTCCAATAGTCGCCATGAAAATGACCCTGACAGAGAAAGTCGTAATTCAAGGCGATCATATCAACCAAGACAGTCGCCAAGGCCCTTGAATCAGAACTATAGTCGGTAAGTAAAATATGTCGGGTTTTTGTTTCGTTTTAAGCTTTAACCAAATGTTGAATTCTTTGTATTTTAATTTTTTTATTAAAGTAGTTGAATCATTTTGTATTCGATTTACTAGACTTTGTATGCATGACACAATATGAACAAATAAATAAAAAATGTATCCATGATTTGTAGAACCCCATTTGAAAACCCTGTGGAAACTCTTCTATCTATAAAACATCAGTGGAATGTCTTTTAGGTTTTTAGGATATCTTAAGAAAGTCTGATAAAGATGTACTATTTGTAGAAAGTCTAGTTATTCTGAAATGAATAGACTTATGGACTATACTTGTCATGGTACAAATAAATAAATAAATAAAAGCTACTCATGATTTTTTGATGCTATTAATAGAAGAAATATCTTGTTCATTCATCTCAGGCCTTGGTACTGATTCTAAAAAGCAAGGACAGATTTTAAACATTAACACTTTTAAGTAAATATAGTTTAATGTTTGTTTAAAACGAATGAAATTTCCAAATTGGGCCAAAATAAATTTTCAGAATTTTCCTTGTTTTTTTTTAGACAAAATGAAAATCAACATCAAAGTGCAAGGGATTCTCAGAATAGCGGTAATGAGGAACGTGATGAATCAAAACCTTTGCCTCGTTGGCGTGCACCTCGTTTCAATCGCGACGACCAACACAAAGATAATCGCAGCCGCAATGTGCAACGGCGATTCAGTGGCAGTTTCGATGATGACCGCCAAAGTGTACGCAGTGACGGTGGCAGTATCCGTTTGTATAGTATAAACGATCGTCTCAAACATGCTCAAGAGAAAATCGAACGTTCGGGCAATGCAAGCACTTACAGCGGCATTGCAAACTCCAACTGGGATCGTCAGTCGCAGCGAGATGATCGCAGTGAACGTTCATATATGAGCAATTATGAACGGGGCAATAACCATCGTCGTGGTGGCCGGCATTATAATCAGCGGCCAATGTACGATAAACCACCACGTTTCCAAAAGAACAAAGGTGGGGCCAACAATGCGCATAGTGGTGCTGGCGATAAAAATCAGTCGGATACTTGGAGACGTTCTAATAGCAATCTTAAGTACTATGATGAGAATTCACAGTACAACAACACAAATGGCCCAGAATCGAACAGTCGTAGCTCATCGCGGGCCCGCACATTGCCAAGACCTGCAAAATCGAGAATGGATGGCGGAGGTGCTGGTGGCAATTCATACCGACGCAGTCAAAGTCCCAACAGCTACCAGGGTGGACGTGGTGGCGGTGGAAACCACCACAATAGCCATAATCATCACAATAAAAACAGAACACGCCACTTTGGCCAAAGATACAGTAGTCAAAGTAGTTTAGCCAGCGAAGCGTCCAGTACATTTGATCGCCATACGCAGCATCATAGAAATCGCTCATTCTCAAGACGTAATCCATCTTCTGCCATGCAACAATCCGAACAGCCACCCCAACAACAACAAACACAACATATCCCGCCACCACCGCGCAAGGAGAAAGAGAACGAGGATGATTGGACAGACAATGAGGCGACAAACAGCGAATTGGTACGTAATGCCCGCCAAACAACCGATTATATGAATTACTTATCATCAAAATAATATGTTTGGTGTAAATTATTATTAACAAATACACATAGTAAACAAAAGACGTTATCTAAACGTACAAGGGAATAATGTAAAAAAATGTGTGTGTGTGTGTTCGTACAATTCCCGCCTAAAATGTAATGCATATGTTGTATTTTTTTTTAATTGCATCTTTAATGTTTCATACAATATACATATATATATTTCTTTTTTTTTTTTTTTTTGTTATAAGAGAATGTATGTAGATTGTTTTAAGTAACATTACATTTATATTTAACAGTATCCCCTTTGGAATGTTTTATATTTTGGTGATATAATTGATCAATTACATTTACGTTTCTTTTTCATAGATTCTTTCTTGAATTTGTAACTGCTCTGTATCTATATCTAAATATTTTTATGTATGTGTTTGTCAATTGTTTTGTTATAGATTTCACATTTTGTTTTAGAACCAATACTTTTGTATTTTATCAAACATTTTTACAGACATTCAGAGGAATGTATACCACTATCGCTTTGTTCTATATTACCTTTTTTCCGTAGATATCCCTCTTTAGATATTTTCATATTTTCTGAAAACCTTATATTTTGAAGTTGACTTTTTTTGAAAGCTTGCTATGTAGAGATGGCTCGATAGAGAAGTTCAGGAACAAGTTTATACCTATGTTATTAAATTCAATATCTGTGCATGAGTACATTTAAATGTGTGTATATATTTTATACAGATACTCTCTAGCATACCCGAGGAAACTCTTCTATTTATAGAAAAACTGTAGAAATTCTTTTATCTTCAGAAAACATGTAGTATAAATTAGATATGGAATGTATTCCATGAAAGAAATATTGCGGTGGGATCAATTGTAACCCTCAGATTGCTGTAGCGAACAGTCCTCAGAAAGGCACCAGTCAAAGATTACTTTCATAGAGATAAGCATGTGAAAGGACCTTATATCTATGGAATATATGTATACTCCAGCTATAAAATAATTTAGAGAATCTTTAGAGGCGAGAAGTCATAAGGAAGGCAGCAGTCAAAGAGAACTTCCATAGAGATTATCATGTGAAAGGACCTTGTATCTATGGTATATATGTATATTTTAGCTATAAAATAATTTAGGGAATCTTTAGAGGACATTCTCTTATTGGAGATCGTGGAGGACCTGTGGCAGATATATTGTTTCTTTAAATCTTGGAATTTTACACACTAAGATAAAATTTGGTAGACATTTTATGCATACACACCTGTGGAAGGCAAAGCAACTGCCGAAGCCCAAAGACATTTAGAAGATACTTTTTTAAATACCTTCTATTTGCAGAAGACCCGTAGTAATAATTTTTATATACGAGCCTCTGGGGAAGAGATATCTACAGCAGATCCGTGCAAGTCTTAGGACGAATTATGGAAAGTATTTTTAACACAGACTTGTATATCCTCCACTTACAGAAGACTCGATGTGGAAAATCTCCTATCCATAAAGAACATGATAAGCATATTGCCTTTATGTGAGCATTGGAATCTGTAGGAACCAATCAACAGAAATCCTACGAAAAAATTTTTTACATCCGATTTTATATAAATTTTGCAATATTTGTATCAGTGCGAAAATTGCAATATCGGTCCACTCTTTCTAGTACATCCAACACGACGTGTCAGCTTTTTGAAACCCCATAACCCTCAGGAAATGCAAAATGAGTATCGACTCTTTTCAAACTTGTTACATCCCAATATTTCTACCAAAACAAGATTTGATGTGAAGATGGGGAAGATCGGAACACGACGCTTTTTAAAAGTAAAATAGGACTCCGATTGTTTTTAAATTTCGCTAGTTACAATATTTCTGCCAACTCTACATCTTGAATTAATATATGATAGATCGCACCACTTCTTCTGGTATCTCTCCCATAACGGGCCAGAACTTTGAATACCCATAACCCTTATGCTTCAATGCAAAATGAGCATCCGATTCTTTTCAAACTTGTCACATCCCAATATTTTTAACGAGACAAGATCTGGATTGATAATTGGGAAGATCGGACCACGCTTTCGAATAATTCCCCTACAAATGGTAAACATTTGGAATTGTCTTCGATTGTCTTCAAAATTTGCATGTTCCAATATTTCTACTAACTGTAAGAAGACCGGGATAGATCTGACAACTCCTTCTGGTACATCCCCCATAAAGGGTCAACTTTGAATAATTTCAGTCTTCTAAAATGCGAAAATATTCCTCAGTACTAATCATAGATAGCACATTTCAATTTAGTGTAAAGATCGCAAAATAGCAAAAAAAATATACATAAATAAATGATCATATGCTGAGGGTATATATTTGTCGACTGACAGACCGACACTTTTTAACTTCCTATTGTCCTTTTAAAAAAGAAAAATATTTCGAGAAAATATTTCGATCTGAAATAGATCTATTAAACGTGTCATATCTAAAAAAGTTGAAACGTCTTCCTGAAATCTTATAGACCTCTGTCGGGTTTTTCCTTCACTATTTATATGGAACTTTTAATCCTTCCGGAAAATAAGAACACTTGAAACTTTCTGTAGCATTACTTTTTAATGTATGTTCCATACATTTTAATTGTCTGAAAACACATTTCTAAACCAATGTTGCATGAACTATAAGAAAACAATAATGATGTTGTATACGCTAATGAAGAAGGTTGCATGTAATGTACATTGTTTGTTAAATTCAATTCAATATTTATTTATATAAACATATTTTTATAATATTTCTAGTGAATGTTTATTTAGGAACCAAACTAGTTTCTTAATTTAAAGGACGTTGTTGAAATAATAATTATTTATGTATTTTTTCGCCAACAAATCACAACAGATTCCATGAAGAAATATTTCACAGAAAAGCATTAACATAAACGGCTACCTATCTGTGTCTTTAAACGTTTACCACTTGATAGAACCTTAACGCCGGAATGTATCTTTCCAATAACACTGCAATCAACAGCAACCCAAAATGGACTCAAATGAAATTGGTATTCCTTTAAATGTCTGTTAGTGTAAGAGAAGCAAAATACAACAAAACAACAACAATGCATTATAAAATTCTACTGTGGTATAAAAACAACAACAACAGCAAGAACAATGATCAAATAGGAGAAGCGCTAACATTTATATGTAAAATTAAAGAAAAAGGAAACAAAAGAAAATATATTAAAAATAAATGTAATGTATTTTAAACAGCAACAGTAAAAAAAATAATCATAGTATCAACTAAAATACATAGGTTTGAAAGTTGCAACTAATCTTAAATCAACCAACCAACCAACAAAAATTTATTAATTATATATGAAAACAGAAAAAGTCTATAATTGTAATTATTAGAGTTTATTATATTTGTTAACAAACTAAGCTTTCATTCATAATTTATATTTTATAAGTAGCCATTGTTTTATAAAGTCGCCACAGTTCATATCCGACAATGTGGTTTTTCCATAACTTTTTTGTTCATTTTCCCCGAAACTCCTGCATCCAAACAAAACCCTCCGCCCCTTTAGAATCAAGTGATGTGTAACTTTGGAATTTTATAAGATTGTGGCATGATTATCGTTTATTTTAATTTGAGTAAAAGAAAACCAATTGTAAAAAAAAATACTTATATTAAAATAAAAAGATACAAACAAAAAAAATAAAAGTAAATAAATAAAGTCATTAAAAATGACCTATTTTAAGCGTAATAAAATGTTTAATTATTTTATTGGATTATATACTTTGGTAAATATACGTCATGGAAAATTGTGGATCGAAAGACATTTATAGACAATGATGAGTTAAGCATAAGCGTTTTGCAAAAAAAAAAAAAACATTTTATAGCAAGCAAAGCTGTTTATTTTTATAACTTGAAGTTCTGTGCGATGATTTACTTGATTAGATAATCTGTCTACACATATGTGCAAAATATATAAGCATTTAATTTATTTAAAACATTAAAAGAGTTTTAAGATAGGTTGTGTCTATGGAATATCTCTGGAATCCTTTTATCTGGAAAGTCTCAGTACTTAAACTTTCAAAATTGCTCTCTTTACTTGTTCTCATTTACTGGACTTTTGGGTTATCGAGCAATATTTTGTAAAAAATATTGGGTTGTCGAACATACCTTTTGTAATATTTTGTAAAAAATATTTATATACATAGATATTTTCTCAGTGGAATTTATCCAGTAATATTAGCTGATTGAAAAACAGCTACATTGCAAAAAAAAAAAAAAAGCTCATACCTATTTCTAATGAAAACTCCCAAATAACTAAAATTCACGAATAGAAAAACAGAAAAATATGTTTTCTTATACAACGTCAATTGCAGGTTTTTAAAATAAGGGGTTTTCAACAATTTTTAAAATTTTCACCAAGTTTTCATTCAAAATTTTCAATTCCAAAATAAATATAATAAATGGTATAATAAATACGCATTTTTCGATGCCGACTTAACCAGCACTGCTCAAGAAAAAAATATCTCTTTACAGTCAAATTTCTCTTTGCTTTTTTAAATCAAGAACAAAACAATGTTATGTCATTATTTATACAAATATATTTTATCCATTTGCTTTATAAATTATTTTGGCAAACATTCATGTTTAAAAACAATTAAATGGAGTCGTAGAGTATAAAGAAAAAGAGAATTTTAATTTTCTCTTATATTATCTCTTTTTTCGGCTCATGTTCTAGAACACGGGTTTGAGCAGGGCTGGTCTTAACTCAACATAAGCAGCTTGCAAAATGAAGTTGTACTAACGGTTGTACAGTGTGTGGCTTGCATAAGAATTATCTTTGTCATCATTTCGTTTTGTATACCTGTATTGAGAAAAAGAAGAAGACTTGTCCAACTAGTTCCGCGCTCTTTTAGTGAATGTGTTCAACAATATATGTTGTCAGCCTTTTGTTTTGATTCCCATCTTTATTCAGATTTTCTTTTTGTGCTGTTTTTCTTTTCAGAGTTGCCATTGTTGCGACATAACAGCTAGTTCCGCGCTCCTTTGGTGAATGTGTGTTCAAACCACTTATGTTGTCGGCCTTTCCCTTTTGATTCCCATCTTTATTAAGATTTTCTTTCAGTGATGTCTTTCTTTTCAGTGCTGCCAAGTATCCTTTGTTCGTTACTTCACTCTCCCGGTGGCGTCGGTGGCGACGGTTTGGTGTGAAATTGTTAAATTATTAATAAAAAATCAAGCTTAAAAAATAAATATTTAAAATATAAATATTATTGAAATATTTCCAGATATACATTATTTATTGTATTTTTATCTGCTAGGTGGTTGATTCTGGCTTTTGTTCCTCGGGTTTTTCCAAGAGTTCGGATGCATACATATAAACGTGCATTAATCATCATCTTCATATGTGCATATGTGCACAATGGATGTGCAATAAACATCTGATTGTTTAGACGAAGACGACTGTTAGAAGTGAAAACATCTCTTTAGAAAGATCATATCCAGAATCCTGTTCCAAGGATGTCGGCGCCCACGTCTTTAAATGTCCTTTGTGCTATATGCAGTGAATATTTTCAAAACAGTGACATTGTTTATTGTACTACAAGATGTGGCCATGTATTTCATCATAAATGTCTGACTCGTTGGTTGTCCAATTCCAAAACATGTCCCCAGTGCCGTGGCAATTGTCAGCGTCATATGATACATCGAATTTATTTGAATTTTTCTGAACCCACACCATTGGATGATGTCGATACGGAACCAGAGGCCACATTCGATTGGTACCCGTTGGAGAGTTCCATGAGTGTTTCCGAGATTGCTGGCTTTGGCTTCAAGTTGGATAACGATGAAAATGGCGATGCGATCTATGCTGCCCGTGTATACTACAAGGATGATTTATTACCAGCTTATTATGTTCCCCAAAAGAAGGGAGTGTATTGTGCCTGGGGTTGTGCGTCACATTTTGTTGATGACAATATTGAGCAATTGTATATCGCTAGCGATACGGCTGAGTACAAATGGGAGTCAGCTGAAAATGGTCATGTACCGGAAAATGCATTGCATGTAGGTTATACGCAAAACAATGAAGAATTATATTTTGGCCGAGCTATGTACGAGGGACGATTACGTTATGGCAAAGTTCATCCATCACATCACTGCTGTTATTTTCCATATAAGGAGTGGGAGAAAAATAACAGAACTTATGAAGTATTAGTTCGAATACCAAAGTCTGAATGAAGTAAATAGGAGAGGGGTAATTAAGCATAAAATATATTATTTTCTTGGGTATTTTGCTTGTTTTTTTTTAACCAATATTTTTGTTTTAAACCCATATAAGATGGCCAAAGTGACGGACAATGTTGTGCTTTTGCATAATATAAGAAAATGTTTGTCCTAAATACACTATGTTATGATATGTCATTTTATTTTAAATAAATGCTATTACATTATTAATAACTAAACGTTGATGCATTGAAAATTACACAACAAAACTATTTGTTTTGAATTAATTAATGGTTTTATACACCAAACATTTAATTTCATTCCATTTGTTTCATTCAATTCAAAATAAATAAGCCAACGTGACCAACATAAAAACAGCATACAACTAAGTTAAACTAAAAAAACTAAATATGGTCTGTTCCAGAACTGCAAGAATGTAAAAGTTTTTACTACGATAACCGATTTTCCCATCTATGATATCGAAGAAAATTGGAAAACTACTAGATTTTTGCAAAATTGCATTCCTTATTCAATTTTCAAGAGAATATTTTCCAATAAATTGGAAAAACTTTTTAGGAGTATAGGGCAATAAATTTGAGGCCCTTTGTGTATGGTTAAGCTACATAAAATTGACCCTAAAAAAGTTGAAAGTATGGGAGCCATATCCCAATCTGAACCGATCTCTATAAAATTTAACCGAGGCATTTCTGAGCTGTATTTGAACAGATTTTCACTAAATTTGATGTACTTGCTTCTAGGCGGAATTCCGCTGAAAGTGCTAAAATTCAGCCCATTTGCTGCACAAGAAACATGAAATTATAAAAAAATATATGGGAGCTATATCCAAATCTGAACCGATCCAAATCTGCGCTGTATCTGATATCTAGTACCAAAGATCTTTGTTGTGGAGTGCATACTGCGCATGTGAGGGACTTAAAACCCCAAATCGTATAAAACATATGTATGGCAGATATAACTATATCTGAATCGATTTTTACCAAATTCGAAGTATTTGTTTCTAAGATGAATTCAGATGTAATTGTCAAAAATCAGTCCATTTGCTATATCTGAACCGATTTTCACCAAATTTGATGTACTTCTAGACTGAATTCGGTGGGATGTGCCAAAATTAAGGACTTTTGGACTGATATTGACCATTTGGTTTGCAATTAATCCAAATTCGGTTGAAGTTATATATGGGAGCTATATCTAAATCTGATCTGATTATCACCAATTTCAATAGGGTTCGTCCTTGGGCCAAATAAATTTTGTTTGGAAAATTTTATCTCGGGGACCTGCATTTTGTTCAAAAGAATACATGGACGGACTGAGATGCATAAATCGACTCAGAAAGTGATTCTATGAAGATCTTCAAAAGTAATTATGGGCCTATCTTTCTTCCTCCTCCATGTTACAAACACATGAACAAAGACATTATAGCCTTACCACTATCTAGGGTACAAAAATCTAGGTTTGAGCAGGTTTGAGAAAATCATCTCTCCTGATAGAAATAATAACAGAATAGAAGAGAATAATAATAGAAATAATAGAAGAGAAATAATTCTAAAAGCGACAAGCTGGAAAAACACTTCTTAATGAGTCTGTCATTGATAAGCTATTGAAAATATACATCTTAAAAAATCTATGTTTCTTGCACTGGAAGTTTTTGAAAATATTTCTTAAAAATTCATTTTAATTAGATTGGGAAGTTATTTAAAAATACTTCTTAAAGCATCCAGATTTTTGGAATCCGAAAGCGTTTGTAAAACGAATGTATAAAAAAATTAATGTTCTTTTAAAGGTCTGTATTCTCGGATCATGAGGCTCTTAGTTCTAAAACAAATAACAAAATTTCTTTATTTGTCCTTTAAAGACATGCCCGTGGCATCGGCCTCATCAAAGTGTTTTAACATACTTTTAATTTATAATACTCACTTCCAAGTTTCCTGGCAAATAAAACATTGAATATCTTAATAATCTACTTAGATTATATTTTGAAAAAAATTGTCGAGATTTATTATTGTTTTTATTGTAAATCCTTTAAAGTATATATATAAAAAACATAGTAATTTAGTAAACACCAAAGAAACGATATTTTTATTATAAAATTTTTGGTGATATAAAGAGGCCCAAATTAATTTTCAATATAAAACAAGGCAAACAATAAATACAAGCATAAAACAAATTTGCTTAAATCTAAACCAAAGAGTGGAAATGATAAAAAAAAACTCAACAAATAAACACATTTTTTTCATAAATATAAAGATAAAAATAAAAAATGCACACAATAAATACAAAGATCCAATGTTAGGAGAAATAATTGAGAGACAATTGTTAATTTTAAGTATTTGATAAAACATTTTTTTGTAATTATCTCATTAAAATGTTAGTTTGTATACATGTAATTGTTTACTGTAATTGTAATTGTTTACTGTGTTTAAAACAACATATGGCTACAATAAAATTCGTTTATAAACAAATAAAATTAGTTGGGTTTCAGATACAAACAAAATTTATGAAAGAAAGAACATAGACTGAAAATCGTTATTTTAAAGATCCAGATCTTTCGGATCCAAAAATGTATACTAAAGGTATTCGGCAATAGAATACTCTTTAAACATTTTTCAGGAGTAGAATACCTTCAAAAGATTTTCCAACGCCTTTAATAGCAAGGGTTTTCTATTGATAAAATAATTCTTTCTAAGAGCTGTCTTAAAGCAGAAGGCATTTACAGGTAAAAAAGAAGAACTTCTTAAGAAAAACTTTCAAAAAGACCTGTTTCTCTATGACGATGCGAAAGGAAACTTGAAAGAGAAAAATCAATTCTTTACATTTTTTTTTAAATTTTTGATTCTTATTTAATTAAAAAAATGCTCATAGTTCAAGTTCACTTTCCTATCGTCATAGAGAAACCGTCGCTTAATAATTTTGAAAATTAAACTACCGGAAGAGTCTTCTCTTCCCTCATTTATGTCCCTTCTCTTTCATAACATTTTTGCTGACTGAATCCCGACGAACAAATATTGACAATTGAAACCATTAATAATGGATTTTGGAAAATGGCTGTTTCAAGAATACTTATAGAAGGCCTAGATGTATATATAATTTTCCGACAATGCTAAAAATGGACCTTACAAAAAAAAAATCGAGATGACAATACGTATAAAAATATTCATATTCTTGCTGAGACTCACTTGCAACAGCAAGGATATAATTCTTCATCTTCTAAAATTGCTTATATGCTAATCTATATTATTCTATATATGTATGTAAGTATGTATATATGTATGTTTAGCTGGGTGTGTGTGTCTCCTCGGTATATTATAGATTATATATTAATATAAAAAATGACCCTACATACTATAAAACTTAATGTTAGTGGGAGGAGGGTTGGTGCCAATAATAATAATGGCCTTTCTAAACGTATGTTCCATAGGTCCAAATGTCCCCCATGCACAGGAGCGAGCGGGTACTGTTGAAAGCTTTCATGAAACCATTTTCATTTTGATGTTGTTGCAAACAATCAATCAACAGGAACATTTACTCTTCTCATCGTTTAGTGTCTGATCTCCGGTCTGGTTGAGATTGAATTTTTCGCTATCGGCTAAATCGGCGGCACTGATCAATTTATCATTAAGTAATATCTGCAAGATCAAGGGAGAAGAATTGTGGTATTATTTAAATAAAATAATTTGCGGAATTTTTATTTTACCTTATTAACTAAAGCTCTAGCTGCCTCATCTATGTTAATGTTCTCCTTGGCGGATGTTTCGAACCATCCAGCAAAGCCATGCTCCTTAACATATTCATCCATTTTCTCGGCATTTGTTACCATGCCCTGTTTATCTTGATCGCACTGCAAGGAGAATAAAAGTTCAGATATTTTGTGAAAATATAAGGAGCTCTAATTTTAAGGAAATTGGAAAGAAATAGTGGGCTCATTGATTCGCTTCACCTACCTTATTGGCCAGCAATATACATGGAATCGGACTGCCATCCGGCAGCTGAACTTTCGAGTCTAAATCCTCTTTCCATTTACTAACACAATCGAATGTACCGCTGCGTGTCACATCGAATACAATAAAGGCACCGACGGCTTCTTTGTAATACACTCGGGTCATATTGCCGAAACGTTCCTGTCCGGCAATATCCCACAATTGAAGGCGTACAATGGTGTTGGGATCCCAGTGCAGAACCTTCAAGGCAAAGTCAACACCGATTGTTGCCCGATAGTTTTGACTGAAAAACTGATGGACATAACGTTTGATGAACGATGTCTTGCCCGTGCCCAGCTCACCGATGACTAGAATTTTATAGAGATGCTCGCGTTTTTCGGCATTTGCTGATGTCATTATAGTCTGAAAGCAAAGAGAAATTGAAATGTAAATAAAGGTATTTTAGCATAATGTTGGGATAAATTTATCCAGCTGAAATAAAAATTATTAAAAATTCATGGCTTTTTTGTGGTTACAGCCCAAACTTTCGATTTGCCACTCTTCAGTATTCAATACAAACTAACTTCATCGTTTAATAGTTCAAATCAATGATGAGATATTAACTACATATCAAAAGTGTGTAATTATTGGCTTAAGTCTTATATAAGCTTCTTAGACGGACGGACATAAGACATTTAGAACTTGCTCGGCTATTAACTGCCCTTTCGGGTGTCTTGAGGGCCAGGGAAAAAATATGCGAAGAAAAAGAAAAGTGTCAATTCGATTGTGGCAAAAGGAAAGAAATTAACGTTTCTACAGCCAAACAAGGTTAGCGCGAACTGCTTGGAACCGTAGCAAAATCATACAAGGTAAGCCGATAGGGCTGTTCCAGAATTGCAAGAATGTACACATTTTTAGTATAACCCATTTTCCTAAAAGAAAACAATATTATATTCTTGCAGGTTCTGGAACAGAGCATATGCTAACATATGTGTTGTCTTCGCACTTTTTTAGTGGTAAAATTAGTAAGAGGGAAGAAATGTAACTCTCGCTCTGAGAGAACGGGAACGGTGCTTTTCTCTGAGAAAACCCATTGGTCGGAGATCTTCTCCGAATGTGTTAGAGTTCTTAACAGAAAAAGGCCAAACGTCTTGGAATATCTAGTACGGAAGAACTGGAGGACTTCTTACAAAAATGATACCTTTCTTGTACGAATAAGGCCTAACTTTTATAAGAAATCCTCCAAGTTTAAAAAACACTAGCTCTTCAAGAATTAGACCTCTAGCACTTCCAAGAGAAGGTCTTCGGTTATTCTTTATGTAAAAATTTAGGTCATTTATAAGAAGAAATCTAGCCTTTATATATGAAGAGATTCTGTACTTCCAGAGGAGATGCTCTTTTACGAGAGACTTTTAGCTCTTCAACGAGAATACTTTCGGTTTTTTTTATAAGAAGACCGACAGCTCTACTGTGAGAAGATCCCTAATTCTTTTACGAGAAACCCAACAGCTCTTCTGTGTGAAGACCTCTAACTCTTTGACGAGAAAACCTACAGCTTTCCTATGAAAATACCCTCAGTTAGCTCTTCTATGAGAAGACCTTCAGTTAGCTCTTCTATAAGAAGACCTGCAGATAGCTCTTCTATGAGTATGCCTTCAGCTAGCTCCTCTATGAGAAGACATCTAACTCTTCTATGAGAAAACCTATAGTTCTTCTATGTGAAGATTTCCAGCTTAGGTCGTCAATGAGAAGGCCTCCCGCTCTTTTATGAAAAGGCCTCTTGCGTTTCCATTTGAAAAGCTCCAGATTTTCCATAAGAAAGCCTCTAGCCTTTCTATGTGAAGAGTTCCAGCAATTCTAGATAAGTTCTCCAGCTCTTCGATGAAAATACCTTTAGTTTTTTTAGACCTCTAGTTTTTTTTTTGATTTTCTAAGTGAAGACCACCAGCACCTTAATAGAATACTTCCAGCTCTTCTATAAGAAGAATTTCAGGTATTCTGTAATAATACCTCAAGATCTTCTATCAGAAAACTGCTTAGCTCTATTGTGAGAAAACCTCCAGCTTTTCTGTGAGAAAGCCACTTGGACCGTTCATGAGAAAATCTTCAAATCTTATATAAGAACACCTCTAGCTCTTCTATTTGAATACCTCTTCTGATCTTATGTGAGAAAGCCTTCCTGCTTTGCAAGAGGACCTCCAGTATTTCAATGAGAAAAACTCTCGATCGCTATTCTTTAAGAATTGTATAGGAGATTGTGATTAAAACGAAGAACAAGTATTATTCTCTAAACAGATCTTTGAGTCTTCTTCAGTGCTGTCGAAAATGGGCATAATTTTTGCCATTTTTTATACTCTCCATCATACTATGAAGGTTATATTAAATTTGACATTCATTCTATTCAAAATAGAGTGCAAGGCTATTAGACAGATTCCCAAATGCCTCGGAATCTGCCTAATTTCCGTTGGAATCCTTTAAAAACGATATAATATGAATAACAATGGAAGGAGTTCTTCTTTACATATAAGACACCACCATAAAGAAGATTTTTTTTGTTATAACGATTTCATAACAACAGGGTTGCCAAGTTAAACAAACTTCAATGGTATAATACGTTGGTGTTCTAAAATGTTGCTCACTTTTTGCTCTACAGCAGAGTTCTCGATAGGAACATGTTTCTGTCACATGAACTGTTCATAAAGCATTTTGTCTCGTCTTTTTAATTGTTTCCCCCCCATTGGGCGCCATTGTTGAATACACACGTTGAGTTTTTAATTCCTTCCTACTTGTTCGAGATTTCATATAACATATTGCTGCGGAGTTCAAAGTTCAAACTATCACTAAACATGAGAATGAATGATATATAGCCTAAAGTAGTAGACTGAAGGTATAAAAAAGGACCCAAATTTTAATTTATAACATCAACGTATATTTTTCTTCAATTTCAAATACTTCTGCAGATTTTGTGGCGGAAAACAATTTAAAACTCCAATACTGGTCTTTTTGAAGAAAAGCTACTGTTCTTCTCTAAGAACATCTTGTCCATTATATATACGTTTGCCTGTACCTTTGGCCCGGTCTAACCAATTGTCTAAGGTTCATTTGTATTCTCTCTAAAGAAAATTTATTTTCACAATGCTAAACAGTATCCAAGCAAAAGAAGGTAAGAAGAAATAAAGGAAAGCGTCACGTGAAAATGAATGACCTGACCAAACCCAACATCATCAACAACAACAACATGAGCAGCAGCAACACATGGCGACCAAATGAACTGAGAAATCTGGAATAACTGACTGTCATTTACAGTTGTAAGGCTTCCAGACGGAATCAAATTTCATCATGATGTTGGTGTTGCTGGTGCTTTACGTCGGCGTCACCTAATATGCCAGCCAGCCAGCCAGCCAACCAACCAAGAGGAAAGAAATCAATGTTTGCCAGTGATTAGCTGCAGATAAATGTGATTTAAATATAAGTGTTGATATTTCTGAAAATGAAATGTAAGGAAGAGGAAATAAATATTTTCACATAACCGATGCCGCAGAGTTTACCTCAAGTCGTTGAACCTTTTGTTAGATGGGGGTGATAAATGTTAGGTTACGTATATTTTGGAGAAAAAAAATAAAAATCTACAATATTCTTATCCTATTTATAAATTAAGTGGGTGAATATGGGAACTATTTCTTTAAAAAGATTCATTAAAAAATAGTTTATTAGTTATTATACTCAAAGAATTTTTTGGGAACCAAGAAAGTACATAGTAGAAGTATTTCGAAATATAAGACGATTCTTCCCTTTGGTCCGAATTATGGACTAGGGCTTTTGTATTTCCAAATTTATAATAATACTCTAGATATGTCGAGGATTTCACCATGATAGAAATAACATGTAAACCAATAAAGAAAGTCTAAATTTTGCGCGAGGCTTTTTGATACCCTACACCCCTTTGTATATTTAGTAGAATAAAAAATATAAAAAATTGGATGAACAATATATATGAGAGCTATAGCTATATCTGAACCGATTTTCACCAAATTTGACATAGTGCCACATTCCAACCTATTAGGTCTAATATTATACATTTGGTGCACAATAAAAAACAAATCGGACGAAGATATATATGGGAGCTATATCTAAATCTGAGCCGATCCCGATAAAATTTAGGAAAGGTATTTCTGTGCTGTATATGATATATTTCCCCAAATATCATTGTTACGGAGTGCATATTACGGCCGCGGAGGACAAAAATATCAAATCTGATGAACAATATATATGGGAGATATGGCTATATCTGAACCGATTTCGATCACATTTGAAATACTTATTTCCAGGCTTAATTTGATCGTAATGCATAATTCCATATTATTTGGGCTGATATTACACGTTTGGTGCACAATAAAGACGGGAACTGTATCTAAATTTTGACTGACTATCTCCAATTTCAATATGGTCAAACAAAGGACTTGTGCAAAATTTAATCTGGGTCAGGTAATAAATGCGACCTGCACTTTGTACCCTGACCACCTTGTGGTGTACGGTTAAGAAGGAGCTATGTTAGGCCGGGTAAATACTCTTTGGAATGACCTTGCAGCAAAATGTAAAAAAACGTTGAAAATGCCGATATAATTAAAAAAAAAAATACAATAATACAAATTCCGAATTTAAAATTATTTGGTAAAAAGTATGACTAAAAAGTCAAAATATCGAATTCACGTCTATACGAAGACGTGAAATTTTATTTATTTTTTATCTCTGCCATAAGATATAGTACCCATTACGAACTCTATATACCAAATTTGAAACAATTCCGGTGAAAAGTATTACACAAATCGCCAAAATACCTTGAGGTGCAGTTATGTGGGGCTATACGGACCTTGGTTAGATAGGAAATTTGAGATAATTCTGTTAGTACCGATATTGGCAGGTATCGTTATGATCTCCAAATGCTGCATTTGAAGCAATTCTGGAGAAAAGTGTGACACACATCATCAAAATACAGAATATCTGGAGATACAGTTATATTATGAGGTCATACTCCTTATTTACAGCAAATTCGGTTTGATGTTATGACTAAAACACCCATAAATCCTATACCAAGACGTATATATATAGCCTATTTTCAATACCTGCAGACCTAAAACAAATTTGAGTAAAGTTTTATCACTTCTTAATTTCGTCAAGAAGTTGGAGTGATTTCCAAAGACGGACATTGCTAAATCGATAGGGAGTCTTAAATTGTGTCTAAAACACCCAAAAATCCTATATATAGTCTATTTCCAATACCAAAAATAAAAATTTTCAAAAAAAAAAAAAACTCCGAAAAAACAGTTAAATGATGACCTTTATGCGGGGCTATTCGAAGTCGTGGACCTGCATAAGCAATTTTTTGTAATAGGCTGTAGTACTCATTAAATCTTCAAATACGAAATTTGAAAAAAATCGGGTGAATAATGTCTCAAAAATCATCAAAATACCAAATATTGGGAGGTACCGTTATATGGGGGCTTTTCGAAAACGTGGACTATTTACGAACTTAACTGGCAAAATACGCATGTGTGCAAAATATAGCCAAATCATGAATATTTCGAGGAGTCACAAACGGAATGACAAAGCATAGAATGGTGGATGGTATAAAAATGGGAAGCGAGAAATTATTTGAAATTAGGTTACCTTAAATTGGACCATGGGGATTAAGCTAGTAAAATATTATTTTTTTTCATTTAGCTTCTTACGTATACCTTCAGAATCTACTATAGTCCGCCACAATCATGCTTCTATTTCAATTTTTCTTATCACGCAGTAATACGAATTATTTCTTTGTCTACATTTGAATCGTAGTATTCCATCAAACATAAGATTAGGGATTGTTTTGTAGATCTAAACAAATATTTGACAACATACAAAATTAACCGAACTCGTACATATGTAATTTTTGGTTGAAAGATAAACAACAAAAACATTTTATCTCCGTGGAATTAGTTTCGACCAGACTAACAAAAATATGTTCCAGTCATCTACACACATCTGTATCTATGAATGTTTTGTTGTTTTGGAAATCTCGTTCATGGACCTTTTTATATGACATTTGTTGTGTTGTTTCGTTTGACAAATAGAATTCTGAAGATAAGCTGAGATATGGCAACCGAAAGCGATTGTCTTAAAAATAGCATGAAATCTATGAGTGTTTTCTTGGAGGGAAAATGTCTTCTAAATGAAACCCTCGTTCAACCCAAGGCTTTAAATTAACCTTTAATTGGACAAGGATAAGAGGTAGAAGTCGCAATATGAAAGTGATCCTAGACCAAAAACCTAATGAAAACTCAAATCTGAGGGTAGGAAATTTCAGCTTATAGGTGTTGGTGAAACTGAAGATGGAGCATAGCTTTGATACCCTCCACAATTTGGACGGAATTTGGAAATTTTCAAAAAAAAAAAAAAAAAAAAAAACATATAAATAAATAAATAAATAAAATCCGTTAAAAATTATGTTAAAATCTTAAAAATACCAAATATAGCCGGGGCTATACGAAGACCTGGACCTGCATAAACAATTTTCTGTCACAGACTGCAGTACCTATAAGGAACTTCAAAAAGGAAAATTCAAACAATTTCGGTGAATATTATACCTGAAATCGTCAAAATACTGAGTATAGGGAGGTACAAATATATGGGGCCTATACGAAGACCTGGACCTGCATTACGAAGTCTAAATGCGAAATTTCGAACAAATCCGGTGAATAATGTCTCTAAAATCGTCAAAAAAAGCGAATATCGGGAGGTGCCGTTGTGGCTATACGAAGACATGGGCTTGCATAGGCTGTAGAGCCCATTACGAATTCGAAATACGAAATTTGAGACAACTCCGGAGAATAATGTCCCTAAAATCATTATAATACAGAATATGGCGAGGCATCTTTATATGGGGGATATACCATATCGTGGACCTGAATAGACAATTCTCTTCCAGGGGATGAAGAACTCAGAAGTAACTCCTGGTGTGGATTGTCAGACAATTCCATTGAACATTTTGGCTACAATCATCAAAATATCGAATATCGGTGGGTACCGTTATATGGGGGATATACGATATCGTGGATCTATATAGACAATTCTCTTCCAGGGAATAGAGTACTCAGAAGGAACTGCTTGTGTGGATTTTCAAACGATTTCATTAAAAATTTGCCTAAACTCATGAAAATACCGAATATCGGGAGGTACCGTTATATAGGGGATTTACGATTTCGTGAACCTATATCGAAAATTCTCTTACAGGGTGGAAAGTACTTAAAAGAACTCCTTGTGTGAATTCAGACAATTTAATTAAAAAACGTGGCTACAATCATCAAAATACCGAATTTCGGAGGTACCGCCATATGGGGAATATACGATATCGTGGATTTATGTAGACAAATCTCTTACAGGGGTTAAAGTACTCAGAAGGAACTCCTTGTGTGGATTTTGAGACAATTCAATTGAAAAATGTGACTAAAATTATAAAAATACCGAATATCGGGAGGTACCGTTATATGGGGTATATGATATCTCTTACAGGGGGTGAAGTACTCTGAAGGAACTCCTTGTTTAAAATTTCAGACAATTCCATTGAAAACTGTGGCTAAAATCATCAAAATTCGGTATTTTCGGGGGTATTTTGACTTGGCTGCAGACAAAAGACAGATCGGTGCAAAATTTTGGCTTCCTATCGTCTTAGAATTTTACCCTGATCGAGAATATAGATACCTCCTTATGTCTAAAATTATTAATTCGATGAGATACAAACTGATTGACGAACTTACTATACCCTCCATACTATGTATGGTGGAGGGTAGAAAAATAAAAAAATGTTTGTCCCCTCATTGGGCGCCATTGCAACTTAACATTACCATTGATTTGAAAACACAACATAGAACAACCAAATATCCTTTTTTCTCTGTTTTTATACTCCCATATACACATCTGGCTTACCGGTTCACATTCCTGATCCATTGTCAAGTCTCCGAATGCGGGCATCTGTTGCTGTAATTCCGTACTCAATTTCTGTATATCCTCGTTGTTGTGCGAATCCAATGACAGATCACTGACGCCCGAATGATAACGGAAATATTTATGCTTCAATTCGAGATTATCGAATTCGTCATAGAGTGTGGGCGGTTCGTTTTCACCCGATGGTGTGGTGGCAATATAACGGATGCGTCGTCGACGACTGTCGTCACTGTCGGGCGTATCGTCTGAATCGTCGTCGTCACTGTGATGTTCAATGGAATAGGGCTCCTGCGATGAGGGTTCGTAGGCTAGCTGTTTGGCAATAATCAGCGGTGGTCGTACACGATTGCCCAGGGTGAAGCGTACCGTTGGATGGACGGATGTTGTATCCTTGGGTGTTATGTCTTCCGTTGATGTTGCACTGGGTTGGGCGCTTTCCGCTAACGAGATGTGATCGTCTGTTTGATTTGGCGTTAAGATATGAACTGATTTATCTTGAGATGTAGGCGATGGCTGTTGGGGCGGCGGCGGTGGCGTCGACGTCTGCTGATGCGCTGACGGAGATGCTTGATTGGCTGGCAATGAAGCGTTGGTTGCAGACAACGAATCTGTTACAGATTGAATTTCGTTTCTTTGCGGTTGGGTGGCTGGGTTGTTGGGCGGCGTTAGATTTGAATCGGCTGCCGTTGCAGTTGCTGGCAGTGGTGTTGTCGCCTGTGGTGACGGCGGGGATGCTGATATTGCGGAATTCTTTGAGTCTGGCGTTCCCACAGCTTCGTGCGATCTATCTGTAGACTCTGTTGATGTAGGTCTTGGAAATCTATGACCTCTTTGTGGATTTATCATTAAATCGCTTTCTTTTGTATCCGAAGCGGTGTTGTCACCGGCAGCAGCAGCTGCCGTTGTGGTGGCGGCGGTGGAGTTGTTGTTGTCGCTGGCTTTTGTGGCAGATCCTTTTCCACCTCCTGTTTGCTGTTTGGCGGCGTTTGTTTTATTCGCCTCCGATTTCTTTTTGGATTTTGCAGCCGTTACCAATTTTATGGCTGCCCTTGTGGTGGTTGCTGTTTTGCGTACTGCACCTCCGGTGTTGGTATTGCTGCTGGTACAGGTTGAGTGACTAGTAGAAGGGGGCTGTTGAGGCTGCTGCTGCTGTGCTAGACGGGAGGGTTTGGCGGGTGCCTTGTCTCGTGGTGGAATATCTTTAGAACTTTGAGTGATAACGATTTTCTCTTCTTTCTTCGTTTGCGGTTGTGTGGGTGTGGTGGGTTTCTGTGACGTTTGAGTTTTTAATTTACCTTTGAGTGTTTTCTTTTTATCTTCCCTAGCTGGGGTGGTGGTGGTGGCGTTGGTGTCACTATCGTTTTTCAATGCTCTGCCCAAAGGTGGGGTTGTTGTCGGTGTTGTCGAGGGTGAGGGTTGTGATAACGCTGGACTTGGAGATGGTGATGTTGGGCGCCTCTGTGTGCTATCCGCGGTATCCGCCACTTTTTCAATTTTTTTGGACTTGATGGTTATTTGCACCTTACGTTTTCCCTCGGTTGGCGATAGACGTTCTGTGGTCACCACAACTTCATTTTCTGTGTCATGGAAAAGGGGTTCCAAAATGCGCAACGTTTGAGGCTCCTCCTCACCACAATCCTTTTTGGGAGCAACCTTGGATTTTTTCAAACCAAATAAAGAGGATTTTTTCTTTTTTGTTTTGACTTTAGTGGCCGCCAATTGTTCTCCGCTGGCTATGTCATCAGCATCACTGGACAGAATTACATCTGAGGCAGCCGCGTCCAAGGATCCTTTGATTGCCGCGGATTTGTCCTTTTTCCTTGTGGATCGCGATAATTTCCTTAGAGCCGAGGAGAAACGAGAACGAACCTTTTCCTTGGTTTGCCTTTCCTCGGGATCAGAGTGTATGGCACGCGAAGATTCCACTAATTCTGGATTACTACTCTCCGCTGTGGTCACTGCACTGGGTAATAGCTCCAATGAGGCTGGTTGAGTACCAGGCCAGGTTTCAAACTTTTTGTTTGTTGAATCGATATTATCGTTGACATCAGTATTTTGCATAGTATCAGGCAAGGCGGGTAGGTCCTCGGGGATGGGAGATGTGAAAATTTAATGGGGAAAGGATAAGGGGAGAGTTTTAGAGTTGTCAAAAAGTTGTGTACGATTCATCAAACCCATCAAATGGAATCACTCATTAGGGTGTTTTGTTGTTATTGGGGGTGTTTTCACTTTCAGCACTTGTTGGGTTTCTCGGAAAAATTCTTAAAATTTTTCATTTGTTTTCTATTTTTTTATTGGAAATTGTTTATTATTTTTCACGTTTCTTATCCCTCTTCTAAGGGTTATTTTTTTATATTATCCTTAAGTCCTTTTGAGGTCCTTTTCAATTTCCTTAGCTCACTTAAAACTTTGGGTTCTCTTGCACTTGTTGCCTGATTAACATGAAATCACCACCGTTTCCAACGCCCACTTAAATGAAACTGTTCTCTTCTAGGCATTTTGTAGGCTTTTTATAAATTCGTTTTCTATTCAGAGAACTGCACCGGTTGCTGGCTGGCTGGGTAGCTGGCTGCACTACAAAAAATGAAACAGGGCCAAACCAACCGCGAACAAACAAAGTGTCTTAACGATAGTAAGTGTTGCTGTTGCCGTTGTTGTAGTTGTTGACTTTATGATTTTTGCAATTCTTTGCAATACATGTGTACGGACGTGTGTCTGTCTGTCTGTCCGTCTCTTTGCATCTCCAATCCATAGGGTTTTAGATTACACATGTACACAGTTTTTTCCGTATGGCTCAACCAACCACTCGCTCTATGTTGAAAATTCATTCCATTTTTCTTATTGTTTTTCCTTTTTGTTGCATTTTTCCTTTTGAGTTGAGGTGGAAATTTGAGTTCTACTCAAAATTAATTGCGGTAAATATTTAGATGTGGCATTTTCGGTTTAGAATGGTGGGGGACATTAGTGGTTTAGGTTTTGCCTGGTTGTGTGTGTGTGTGTGGTTGCTTTTGGCGGTGGTATTGCAACATATGTAGTCATTTGGTTCGGTTCTGATTGAACAACAATAACTTGGATTTATTGTTGGCCAACAGTTATTTTGATAACGGTGGGTGCGTATGAGCAATGTCATTCCATTACACATAGACAATGGCGTAGGAGGAAATACCAAAAGAGTGAGAGAGAGAGAGAAGAAAAATCCCTGGGGAACCTCTTTACGACCTATAATCAATACAAGATATTTGTATGCGTGAATTTTGTGGGAAGGCATAATGTGATGACTCCCCTCTATAAATATGGAGTAATTCCCCTCCTCCCACGCCAGTGGTCATCAAATAGTCTCACTATTAAGTAATGACCTTTACGTCTCTAATCAAAGGGTTGTATTGATCAATTCAAAAATAGCAAGTGTTTCCTCTTCAATACAAAACAATTAATTCATAAGCAATATGTTGTGATTTCACAATTAGTTATTAATACATTTAAAGATTATTTAAGAAAAACGTTGATTCTTAGGAATTTAACCCAGTTTCAGATGACACAATGTAAAATTAAAAAAAAAAAAAAAACAAGTCAAAAAGTATCAGGCGGGTTTGCCGACAGACTTCGTTTGCTTGCTTTGCTTTGTGTGTGAGGTACCAGAAGAAGGTCGCAGATATATATCATCTTCTCAACAGATCTTGTGTTAACAAAGATGTTTGTATGTGGGAAATTTAAATAGAGTTAGAGGCTTATTTCGCTTTTTTTGAGCGTTTTGTTTTTTAAATCTTAAACCCTGTGTGGTGGAGTTACCAGAAGATACGGTCTGATTCCTCCCACCTTTATAGCAAATCATGTCTTCATGGAAATTCTAATGATGAGATGTATCAAGTCTAAATGGAATTGGATGTTAATTTTGCGTTTTATGAGCTTCATGTTTATTAAAAATATTGACTCTTTGTGGGTGAGGTGCCAGAAGAAGTGGACCGATACATCCCATATTTGCAGCAGATCTTGTGTTAATAGAAGTAATGGGATGTGTGAAACATGAAGAGAACGGGATGCTTACTTCGGATTTTATAATCGTTTGGTTATTCAAAACTTTTACCCTTTGTGGGGGAGGTACCGGAAGAAATGGTCGGATCTCTATCATCTTTATAACAGATCTTGTGTTAAAAGAAATATTAACATGTGCCAAGTCTGAAAGGAGTTGAATGTTAATTTCGCGTTTTATGAGCTTCATGGATGCTCAAAATTTTGAACCTTTGTGGGGGAGGTACCAGAAGGACCTCACCGGACCTTGGGTTAATAAAAATATTGTGATGTGTGTAATTTGAAGACAATTGGACTCTTAAATTACATTTTATAAGAGGTATAATTATTCAAAATGTGACCGCCTGACCTAACACGGATGCAAATATTAGGATTTGCTAAGGTTCAGCGAAATCCGATTATCCGCACCAGCCAGACAGACAGACTGACGGAGGGACATTGCTAGATCGACTCCGGATTTTTCCAAAGAGACCTAGAGTCTAAAACCATTAATTCGGAGAGGCACGTTTTGGCCGTATCAAATGATATATACCCTCTGCAGCCATATGACAGAGGATAATGTGTTAAAAATGAGGTAATGTGTTAAAAATAAATCGTGGAGAAGAAAGACCGAATCAAAGACCTAGTTTAGACCCGGTTCTACTAAATCGTCAATAAATTGAGAGTTACATCAAAATAATCGTTTTTTTTTTTTGTATCCGGATTTTTGCCCCTATTATTCGTGCCTAACTATAGTTGACACTGTAAACTTTCTAAAATGCTACAATATATGCATCTTTCCAGGATTCAGAAATAAGGGTGTTTGAACCCGGACAACCCAAGTACATCGGAAGAATGTTTTCTAAATTTGATACTTTCTTTTTCGACTTTTTAGTGTGTTTCTTTTAAATACGGGTCCAAAAAAGCAATCATTCACATATACCTCTCGAACCGAAAATAATTCAACTTATTGAATTCATTAGCTTCTAAAGTATACCCTTATTGTTCATATCTACTCTAGATCCAGAAGAACCGCGTCTTTTAAGGGTCTTAGGCCGGGACTTTTGAGTCAAATATCCGAGTATTCAGATACGTCCCCCAAGAAAAAATACTTTCCCAGTATCAGGGTACAAATATCTATCTCTGGAAAAAACTTGAAAGTCCAGAGTTTTTGACCCCTGGTCAGTAGGTAAATGACTCAGAGTCATCAAGTTTTGACTCAGGATCAAAAGGTCATTGAATAGATCAATAGGTTTCTGACCGCTGGTCCATATGTCATTGATCTTTGTTATGTTATTAGCCCCTTTGTCAAAACGTTATTGACCCCGTGTCACTAAGAAATTGAACCCCTGGTCAATTAGTGATTGACCCCAGGTGAATAGGTCATTGAACTCTGGTCAATGGGTCATTGACTCCTGGTCAATAAGTCATCAACCCCTAGTCAATAGGTCATTGACCCCTGGTCAATAGGTCATTAACCCCTGGTCAATAGGTCATTGACCCCTGGTCAATATGTCATTGACCCATAGTCAATAAGTCATTGACCCATGGTCAATAAGTCATTGACCCATGGTCAATAGGCTATTAAGTAATTGACGCCTGGTCAATATGTCATTGACCCATGGTCAATACGTCATTGACGCATGGTCAATAGGCTATTAACCCCTGTCAATAAGTAATAGACGCCTGGTAAATACGCTTGGTTGATTGGTGTCAATTAATAACCTTGAGTGGTGTCAATTAATAACCTATTGACCAAGTGGCCATGTCTAGGTATCGTTGAACCCATTTGACCAATGCAATGAAATTAAAATTTGAGGACCTTTTATTTTAGGACATCTATGGTTCGTATTTCCAAAAACTCAAGCTTACTCACCCTTAAACACCAACATTGACAAACTCACCCTTCATATCGTTATGAGTTTGAAGTGAATACAGCGAAACGAGAACGAGTCATTTTCAAATTTTATCTAACGCTGGTACCCAGTGACCTTCTTTTCAAGTCAAGTCAATCAGAAGGTCTTCCGTCTACAGAAGATCTTTAAAAATGTATTGTCTATAAAATGCTTTAATATTTTCAAAACATAAAATATATCAGCGAGGTCTTCTATACCTATAAAATCTATGTGTTCTATCTGCAGAACCATCTTCTGTCCATCCCTACAAGATCCAAATTTCCTATTTCCTATATTTTAATAATGGAATTTCTTCTCCCTACAAAGCTTTCATTGTAATATCAAATTTAGCATAAGGCACTGAGATACTCGGAAAAGCCTTAACATGACATTTTGCAATGCTATTGAAAGTGTTTATTTTATTTTGTCATTAATCTGCGGGTATATGAATATGTATATATTAATTACATATGTATTTATGCGTGTAGGATGTACAGTTTTATGTTCTGTTTCGATAGCATGTAATCTAAGTAACTAATTGATGGTTAACCACCATATATCCGTCAGCTTCAACGCTTCACTAACATCTATCAAAGACAGAGGTTGTCATAGAATATCAATAACTCAAATTTGTTCGATAGGCGCTTCATTCCGCTCGCTGATGATTTGGTCTACTTGCTTTGTTAGAAAACAAAATCAAATATTTTGTTGTTTTTTTTTTTGCATATCAATGATGCAAACTAGGCTTTATGTATGGAATGCTAGTGGAAATTTCAAGGAGATCAACCGACAATGAGAGATATATTTTGTTTTTCAAAATCTTGAACCCTATGTGGAGGAGGTACCAGAAGAAATGGTCCGATCTCTATCTCGATCTTTATAACAGATCTTTTGTTGATGGAAATATTGAGATGTACCAAGTCTGAATGGAATCGGATGTTATCGGTTAATTTCGGGTTTTATGAGCTTCGTGGAGATTTAAAATGTTTACCCTTTGTGGGGGAGGTACCAGAAGGAGTAGACCGATATATCCCATCCTCACAGCGTCTCTTGTGTTAGTAGAAATAATGGAATGTGTGAAATATGAAGAGACCTGGATTTTAAGATCGTTTCGGATTTTAAGATCGTTTTGGTTATTCAAAACTTTGACCCATTGTGTGGGAGGTACCAGAAGAATGGTCCAATCTCTACCATCTTTATAACAGATATTTTGTTGATAGAAATATTAAGATATATCAAGTCTGAATGAAATCAGATAATAATTTCGAGTTTTATGAGCTGCATGAAAAAAATTTTTTTGTGGTTGAGGTACCAGAAGGAGTGGACCGATATATCCCGCCTTCACACCAGACCTTGGGTTAATAAAAATATTGTTATGTGTGTAATTGAAAGACAAACCGGATTTTTACATCACATTTTATAACAGTTATAGTTTTTCAAAATTTTGACACTTTGTGGAGAGGTACTTGATGGAGTGGAGCGGTATTGTCCATTTTCGTACCTGTTCTAGCACAGATGCAAATATTAGGATTTGCAAAGATGGAGCAAAATCGGATTATGCTTTCTCTTTTTGTGCAATAAAACATGTGTTTGAAAATTTCGACATTTTGTGGGAGAGGTGCCAGAAGGAGTGGACCGATATTGCCCATCTCCGAACTCTAAGTTTGATAATAATATTACGAAGGACCAAGTTTGAACCAAATCGGATACTCTCTCCTAGAGTTATAGTGCGCACCAGGCAGCCAGACAGACGGACGGTCGGACATCGCTAAATCGACTCCAAATGTCCTGC